TTGTTTCAATTTGCTGAGAATAATGGTTTCCAGATTCATCACTGTCCCTACAAAGGACACAAACTCATTGTTTTTTATGTCTGCATATTATTCTATGGTGCATATGTGTGACATTTTCTTTGTCCAGTCTATTATTGATGGGCATTTGGGTTGATTCCATGTCTTTGCTATTGCCAACAGTGCTGCAATAAACATACGTGTGCATATGTCTTTGTAATAGAACAATTTATAATCCTTTGGGATTATCACAAAAATATTTTTGGGTGAAAGTATATCCTAGGAAACAAACATGATTAATATCATTAATTGTTTTTTCTTTTTAAACATTGTAGGAAAATATACAAAACACATTTATTATTTTTACTATTTAAGTGTACAATTCAGTGGAATTAAATACATTCACAATGTTTGACATTTTTAAATTTGGAAAACGAAAGCTTTGTATCCATTGCCTCCAAATCAAAATCTCATGTCCCCATCTATGGGCAAGAGGAAAAGACAGAGAAACAACACTAAAAAAATGAAACAAAGCAAAATAAAACTAGGTGGAAGAAGGAAGGATAGACAAAGTTGATGAAAATGAAGGTGATTTTTTTTTCTTTTACTGACACCGTCATGTTTTTGTTTTTCTATTGATTTCATAAAATCATATAACACAATCCTAAACTCAGATGGGATGAAAAGCAATTACTATATATATATGAAATGTCTTTTGAAATACGTATTCCTTCACTTTTATGACTAAGCGCTTGGTTAGAAAAATGTTGCAATAACACATCAGAAATATGATATGTTTAAAAGAAGATTTCATTGTTGTACCAAAACTTATGATGGAATTTAAGGCTTTAGACTGAGAAGATATATTAGTGATCACCTAGTCTAAATCTTTCATTTTATAGGCAAGGAAAATGAGGTTCTTAAGGATTTATTTTTCTATCCATCTATCCACTAGAACATGCTTTGTTCCAGAAAGTATTATAAAGTGGTTTCAAGAACATGTAAAAGACAGAAAAATAACACAAATTGGAAGTAGACAAAAAAGTCAAGAAAAAAAAGAACAGTATCATAAAAAGAGTCGTGACTGAAACTAAGTCACAAAAGAAGCACCCTTAAATCCTAGGCATTTGATGGGATGAGCCACGGATTGAACCTTAAACATTTTACTGATCAAAGCATAGAAGGAAATCTGGTTAAGCAATTTAATTACTCCAAAGATAAAGCAATCCAATTGTTTAGAAGATTGCAACACAAGAAGGGAATGTCTTCTGAGAGCTTTACTAAGGGAGAATATATTCAGAATCAACATTTTTAAAGACTAATTGTAGGAGAAGGAGAACAGATTCTTGGTGTGTGTGTGTGTGTATATGTGTGTGTGTGTGTGTGTAATGTAGGGTATATCTCACTACAGTTGATTGTATCTCACCTGGGTGCTACTATTCAGTAAAAGTTTCTCTCAGAATGATCTAAACCCTTCTCTGTCAGCTGGGATTTCCTGGGCAGGACACTGGTATGTTGAGTTCCTGGCAGGACAGTTGGGAATTCTTTTTTATTCAATCATCCAAGACCCAAACTTTGTTATTCCAAGTGGTTGGAAAGAGAGCTATTTTGTTGTAATATGGGATTTCCAGGAGCTCAGCTTTAATTAAAATCAGTGTTTTGCAAACATTTTGGGCATGTGACTCTTCTGAGATGCTTGTTAGTAATGCAGATTTCTGTGTCTCATGTTTACTGATTCAGATTCAGGAGGATGGGACTCAGGAATCTGCATGTGATGCAGGTGTAAAGAGTCACAATCTAAGAAGTGCTGGACAGTCTTTTCCTGGAAGGGGTATTTATCCTTTTACCCTTTAAGGGTGGTACAGATATGCTTCAACCAAAGTCATTCTAGGAGGTTTCATTTTGTTCTCTGCCTTTCCATCTTTCTCCTCCTTCTCTAGTCCCATACAGCTTAAATAAATTGCTGGTATCGGAGCTAGGTTGAGAATTGTCTCTGGTTAGAACTGAGATTGTTTTGAAAATTTATATCAGACACATGCACAACATTAACAATTTTCTTATTCCCCCCCTTTTTCTTTTGCAAGTTATTGAGAAAGCGGACAAAGTAGATGTAAGAGACCTGCTCTGGTAGGAGAAACCTGGCTTCGCTGGAATGAGGAGATGTCAAACTTTCTGATTTTGTGTGGCTCCCCGTCTCCAGATCTGTATCTCCATTGTAGAAAGAGGACAAAGCAAGGAGCAGGATTGGGTAGTGTAGATAGGACATGGACTCCTGGTGGGAAGGAATATTTTACCCCTCAGGTTGTTTAGGATTATCGAAACATGGTGATAAAAAGTAGAAATCAATTTTAGTCAGTTTTCTGATTGTTTTAAAATTTCTTAGAGACAGCGGATTCTCTTATTGCCAGCATCCAGGGTGGACAGCTTCATCTCCTTCTTCCATGGTGCATGGTACACTACTCTTGAGGTGTATTGTAGGGTGTCTGTGCTTGAGGGTAGAAGGAAGAAAGAAGGAAATGGAGCAGGAAAAGAAGTCTTTACTCTATTGCTTTGTTGTAGCTTTGCTACCCAGAGGATGATCCCTGGACAAGCAGCATCTATCTGGATCTCACCTGGCCTCATCCAAGATCTACTGAATCAGAATCTTCATTTTAACAAGTTAACAGTCATTCTTGAATATTAAAGTTTGTAAAGTACTGTTCTAGAATAGCATCTCTCTCTCTCTCTCTCTCTCTCTCTCTCTCACACACACACACACACACACACACACACACACACACACACAGCTTAGAATGGCCAGGAGGGTGAAATGCTTATTCAAACAGATTCCAGAGAATCTGATTCAATAGGTGGGGCTGATGAATTTGTACCAATAAACTCCAGATTACATTTACAATGTTATTGAACACTTTGAGTAATGGGGGTAGAGAATAAAGCTTCTTTTTTAAAAAAAGATAAAATTTATTTTTAAAGCAGTTTTAGGTTTACAGAAAAGTAGAAAAGAAGGCACAGAGTTTCCATGTACCCCCAGCCCTCATATACACGCACAGCCTCCCAACTACCAATATCCTGCCCCGGAGTGGTACGTTTGTTACAACTGATGAACCTACATAGATAGATCATTTTCACCTAAAATCCACAGTTCACATTAGAGTTCATTCTTGGTGCTGTGCATTTTGTGGGTTTTGACATGTATCCACTATTGTAATATCATATAGAATAGTTTCACTGCCTTAAATGCCTGTTTTTAAATTTCAGTTAATTTAAATAGTGCTCCATCTATTCAGTCCTCTTCCTCTCCACACCTTGGCAATCACTGATCATTTAGTGTCTTCAAAGTTTTGCCCTTTCCAGAGTATTGTATAGTTTAACTCATACAGTAGCCTTCTCAGATTGGCACTTTTCACTTAGTAGTATGCATTTAAAGTTTCTCCATATCTTTTCATGACTTGATAGCTCAAGCACTGAATAATAATATTCCATTGCTGAAGAATATTCCAGTGTTCAACAATGCCTTTTCTATCACTAAATAGTATTCCATTGTCTTGATGTACCACAATGTATCTGTTCATCTTTGGAAAGCCTTGCTTGTTTCCAAGTTTTGTCAGTTATGAATAAAGCTGCCATATACATCCATATGCAGGTTTCTGTGTGAACATAAGTGTTTGATTCCTTTGGGTAAATACCAAGGAGAATAACTGCTGCATTTATGATGGTAAGAGTATGTTTAGTTTTGTAAAAAACTGCCCAACCTATCTTCCAAAGTGGTTGTAACATTCTGAATTCCCACCAGCCACGAGTGAGAGTTCCTGATGTTCCATGTCCTCAACAGCATTTAGTATTGTCAGTGATTTGGCTTTCAGCCATCCTATTAGGTATGTAGTGACATTCCATTGTTGTTTTAATTTGTAATTCCCTAATTATCTATGATATTGAGCATGTTTTCTTATGCCTATGTGTCATCTGTATATCTTGTTTATATTTTAGTGATTTTCACATATTCTGCATATTTCCTTCTTCTATCAAATTTGTCTTTTACAAATGTCTTTTCCCAGGCTGCAGCTTGTCTTCACATACACCTGAGACAACGGTGCTTTTTACATGGGCGACATAGAATCACTTGGAGTGTTTTGAAAGATGCAAAGTCCTTGGACCCCATCCCAAGAGACTATGAGAAATTCCTTATCCACTCTGAACTAATTTCTCTCTGTCCACATTCAAGGGATCTAATACCTGTGCCTGAGTCGAAGGGGCTGAGCTCTGACCTGCCAACTGCTATTCCCAGTTCACATTTCCCTTCTGCCATGCTCAGGTGTCAGGCACAAGAATGATAAACAAAACTTGCTCTGCTCTTGAGGGCTCCAGACTATACTCATGCCTTAGAAGAACTGATGCTTCTTAGTTAATATGAGACTTTTCCCCACTTCTTCTCTCTGTTAGTAGAAGCGTTTGGGAGAGTAAATGAATCACAAATGGTCCAGGGGTCAAATTTTCATATTTTTTCTGGTTACCTATTTTGTGTAGAGTGTCTTGATAGGCGGCACAGATTTAAAGTTTTAAGAGGCCAGGTGCGGTGGCTCTAGCCTGTAATCCCAGCACTTTGGGAGGCCAAGGTGGGTGGATTACGAGGTCAAGAGATCAAGACCATCCTTGTCAACATAGTGAAACCCCATCTCTACTAAAAATACAAAAAATTAGCTGGGCATTATGGCGTGTGCCTGTAATCCCAGCTATTCAGGATGCTGAGGCAGGAGAATTGCTTGTACTGGGGAGGCAGAGGTTGCGGTGAGCTGAGATTGCGCCATTGCACTCCAGCCTGGGTAACAAGAGTGAAACTTGCCTCAAAAAAAAAAAAAGAGTTTTAAGACAAGGTTCTGACCTTCAAGGAATCTACAATTTATGTGAGAGGTGTATTAGTCTTTTTTTGTGTTGCTATAAAGAAATAAGTGAGGCTAGGTAATTATATATATAAAAAAGTTTTAATTTGGCTCATTGTTCTACAGGCTGTATAGGTGTGGCACCAGTATCTGCTCAGCTTCTGTGAGGCCTCAGGAAGCTTACAATCATGTAAGAAGGTGACTGGAAGCCAGCATGTCATATGGTGAGAATGGGAGAAAGAAAGAAGGGGGATCTCATGTGAATTAAATGAGGAAGCACTCACTTATTAGCAAGGGGATGATGCTAAACCATTTATGAGAGATCTTCCCCCATAATCCAGTCACCCCCAACTGGGCCCCATCTCCCACACTGAGAATCACATTTTATCATGAGATTTAGAGGGAAACCATATCCAAACTATATCAGGTGTCTAGAGCTTTTGGTCCAAGGAAAGTCCCCCAGCTACTAGCTATACCAAAATGCCATTTCTATTTTTAGACTTTTTGCATGTGTCTAGTATACTATTTTAATGTATTAAAAAAATACAAATCTGAAATGGGACACCAATTATAACACAGCTACAAGCTAAGCTGTTTTGACTGAAAAAGTGGAGTATATCTGGAGGCTGGCCTGCACACTCTTACTCTTTGCTCATTTGTGGTGTCTGAGGTATCTCATCAGCATCCTAGTCTAAGGAACACATTAAAAACAATCATTACTTCTCATTATTTGGGGACTGTGGCATTTGACTCATAATCTTTCTTCCCACACCTCACTGTGCAAACCTCAGCAGTATGAGGGTCCACATGGGCAGCCTGGCCTCTTAGATGCCTTCAACTACTGTGTGATGTGCTGCCTCATTCACTTCATCCTCCTATTTCAGTGACCACACTGGAACTCTTACTTTCTGAAGTTTTAATCTCCTTTACTCTCTGATAAAAATTTCTCTGTCAAGCTCTCTTTTTTTTCCACCAAACCTACTTCATGGCTATTAAATCTGTTCTTAGCTATCATCACCCTTACCAGTTCTTTTCTTTGTGTCCATCGAACTCTCTTGACCACACTCTCTTGCTTTCATAGCCGGGACAATCACTCTCTTACTAGCAAATAAATTTTGGTCCCCTCTGTTGTTTTCCTGCTTCTCTTAAGGCAGAAGAGATACTCTCCCAAATCCTCCTCCCTATGGCCAGACCTCCAGTAGAAGAAAATTCTGACATCTCTTACTGAGCTTGCTCCTTTCAGGAGAGGAGGAATGACTTACCTGATTGGTAAATTTTAGAAGCAGATCTAAGCATGCTTAGATGCTCCTTCTAGATCTTCTTTGGGATTTGGCTGCTTGCAGAGAGAGTGCATTTTACTCTATTCCTCCTTGATGTAAAGAGGGAGTCCTCACATTATTTGGCACTGCCTAACTTTTGGGTCATTCTGTAAATTAGCATTTATCATTAAAGGTTGTTTCGTATTACTCCCTTTTCTGCCAAAAATTACAAATAATCACTAAGTCTCAGTCAGTTCTTAAATATCAATCTTGATATTTTTACTCAGCTGCCCAAATGCCACTAGAAGGAAATAATAAATCAGTACTATTGACTGGTATTGTAAATTCACAGTGGACCCTGGATGGTGCTGAGAAGTCCTTCCCTTGCCATTGAGGAATGCTTTCTTTAGCTCCTTTCGGCAGCTCCACTCACACTCACTGACTTTTCTGAGAGTCTTGCCTGCCCTGCCCTGGCCAAGACCATCAGATGATGGCATTTCCTGAACATCAAGAAGCAAATGAACATGAAGGCTCTTAAATCTCTACTCCAACACCCATAATGTTATTCTATCCTTGCACATCTTCTCTGTCTTCCGTCTCATCTTAGGAAAGCATATCCCCATCCCCAAGCTGGTCCAGGTTAATTTATTAATTTGTCTTTTGACCCTATCCTTTTATTTCCCTTGCATTCTTACTGGATTCATCAGTTCCTCTCTCCTTTCTCCCATCATTGCCTGCTCTATCAGTTCCTATTTCATGCACTAAAAACATAGTCAAATGTCTCTCATCTTGGATTAAAAAGTTTTTTTCCTTGGTTCCATGTAGCTCTCTAGTTACAGCCAAATTTTGGCTTCAGTCTGTCCTAGTTCTCTGCCTCCTTGTCCCACATTTACTTTTCTCTTCATTTCCATCAGGTTTTTCTGCCTCCCTCACACCCCAATACATACTAAATCAATCCTAAAATGGTCTTCTCACATGGTTTTTATTACCAGGTGTCTAGGAAATGCTCTGAAATCTCTTTCTCTACATTTCTCCCAACTGTTTGTGTACAAGGGCAATACAGGCTGTCCATCTGAGCTCCACCAAATTTTCAAACATGATGATGTGCCAAGCAGAATGATTACATCCTCTCTAGTCTCTACCTTTCCTCCCCATCTTGTTCTCACCCCTTTAAACATGTGTTTTCTATATTAGTTAATGGCAGCCTTGTCATTTCAGCATCCTAAATCAGAAACTTTGGAGTCACTCTAGAATGAGTTCTTCTCTCTTCTACCCTCCCACATGACCCTCTCCTAATGTGTATTCACGGACTGAGGTTAACTGTTTTCTAAGCATTTTGTCTCCTGGCTATTTACTTTACTATCGTGACACAGTTCATGCCTCTGTCTCTTGCCTATACCATTGCTATGACATCCCAAATGACTTAACTGCCTTAAGTGTCTGCCTCTCTTCATAATTTCCTTCCTAATGCTACAGAAATAATTTTTGAAATGCCAATCTGATCATGTTACTCTAACATTTAGACCTCTGGTTTTGCGTTGTATCTAGGATGAATGCCCAGCTTCCTTTTCATGGCATGTAATATTCTCCACAGTCCTGTTCCTGCCTACTCTTCTCCTGTGGCTGCCTCACTCAAGCTGTCATACTGTGGCTGTGTGAAATATTTTCCTCCCAACAGAATTTTTCTTCATCCTTTAAGTCCTAGCTGAAGGGTTACCTGCTCAGTAAGGCCTTATCACATTATATTGCATTATTTATTTATGTGTTTAATTTCCTAGACTGGGAACTGATTGAAGCTATCACTTTGTCTTTTTATCCAGTATGTAACACAGTGACTAGCACATAGCACTTAGAGATTTTCACCAAATAAAGTTGAAAAATGCTACAGATTGACAAGATACAATCGAAAGGAAATATACCAAATTAAAAATAATAGGTGTGTGCAACTGATAGGATCTAGACTAATTTAAAAATTCTTCTACTATAACTGGTAAAATCATTTTATAATGAGAAGAGGTACACAATTTGTAGAAAAATGATATAGCAGGAGAAACTCATGATGAATGTATTTCAAAGTTAACATTTTGAAGAATGGCTCAAGATAAGTAAGTTGCTTAGACCTTGGGCTCAGGGACTGAGTGAAAAAAAAGAGAGAAAGAAAGAATAAAACAAGCTAAAAAGGGTAAAATTTAACGTTATTCTATATGTATTAAGGTTCTGTAGAGGACCAGAATCTAATAGAATACATGTATATATGAAAGGGAGTTTATTAAGGAGAATTGACTCACATGATCACAAGGTGAAGTTCCACAATAGGCTGTCTGCAACTCGACAAAAAGGGAAGCCAGTGGTGGATCAGTCCAAGTCACAAAACCTCAAAAGTAGGGAAGCCAACAGTGCAGACGTCAGTCTGTGGCCAAAGGCCCAAGATCCCCCCGCAAACACTGGTGTAAATCTAAGAGTCCAAAGCTGAAGAGCTGGGGGTCTGATGTTCGAGGGCAGGAGCCATCCAGCTAGGTTGAAAGATGAAGGCTGGAAGGCTCATCAAGTCTAGTCCTTCCACTTTCTTCGGCCTGCTTTATTCTAGCCATGCTGATAGCTGATTGGATGGTGACCACTCAGCTTGAGGGTGAGTCTGCCTCTCCCAGTCCACTGATTCAAATGTTAATCTCCTTTGGAAACACCCTCACAGACACACCCAGGAACAGTACTTTGCATCCTTCAATCAAATGCTGTTGACACTTAATATTAACCATCACACTATATGTATTTTTTTCATTTATGCATTTAAAATGTTCATCCATTCAAATGCTCTTTAAATCATTTATACCTCACTTTGTTTCAGTAAGGCATAAAGTAAACTTGTGATGAAGGATAAAATCTAGAAAGACTAAGTAAATTAAAATTATTTTAGAAAAAAATGAGGCTAAAGAAAAATAAAGCCAGCTAAGTAAAACAAAGGCAGGATTAATATTAATACTTCAAGTTTAAGCTGTGAGGCTCTGTGTACTGCCCAGCAGGGAGTCATAGAATTGACTTTCTAGTGATCAGAGAGGGAAAAGTAATTGGTGATAATATGCATAAGGACTGTAACATAGAATCAATTTATTTGGGAATTTATCTACTAAGATCAGTGAGAAAATTTTTCTAGGGATCCTTAGGGAAAAGAGATGACATTATGTGATAAAATATATGCTTATCAACATCTTTAAATATATACAACATTGAGTTTCGGATCAATTTCTCATAAGGTTCATCAATGTAGGAAAATAGACCTGATGAGATAGTAATTCAGTAGGATGTATTCTCTAGAGGACAAATATGATCATTCTTTGATATGATCCAATGTAGCAAAGGCTCTGAATTGTTCACTTAAATGTAGATTCATGAGTTTTTCCCATCTCCACTACTCCTCATCCCCCTAGAGATTCTGACTCAGTAGTTTGGAAGTAGATTCCTAGAATTTTTGTTTTAGATAATCAACCTGGAAGTTTAGACAAGAAGTCTAAAAATCACACTTAATGCTGATTTTTGAGTATTTAGAGGAACAAGTGAACTGCATAAACTTCATCCAATCATTTGAAAATTTGGTTTCTCTAAACTGAGCTAAAATCCAGATAATTTGAGCTTGTATTATCTGGCCAATATGTGTGATATAGTTGGTCTATATGTCAGTTCATTATAAAACTATCTCTTTAATAGTTTAACCAAGCTACTAATAAAATACATTTCTTAATATTTACAAGATGGTACAAAACAAAGTTTTACTAAATTGAAGCCCTTAGAGTCAGTATTGAGTCTTTAAAAAAACAAATATTGGACTAACTCTGAAACATGCATCAACTAATGATTTAGAACTCAAGTTTCAATTACATGAAACATGACTGACCTAATTTTAGCCTGTAAAAAATTAAAATAGATGCAACCAGAATAAATAAATTAGATGTATCTTTGGCCATGAGGAACTATTATACCTCTAAAATACGTTCAGCTTTAAGTGTTGATTCCTCCTAGTGAATCCTCAGGATAAACTTGTACCATTGTAGTGTTTAAGATGGTTCCCAAGAATCCCTGCCTCCTTGTGCTCATGTCTTTGTTTAATCCCCTCCTGCAGATTATTTGTTGAATTTATGTACTCAGTTTTAACAAATAAAATGTGGAAGAAGTAATGAGACATCCTTTTTTTTTTTGAGATGGAATCTTACTCTGTCGCCCAGGCTGGAGTGCAGTGGCGCCATCTTGGCTCCCTGCAACCTCTGCCTCCTGGGTTCAAGTGATTATCTTGCCTCAGCCTCCCAAGTAGCTGTGATTATAGGTGCCCACCGCCACATCCAGCTAACTTTTGTATTTTTAGTAGAGAGGTGTTTCACCATGTTGGTCAAGCTGATCTTGAACTCATGACCTCAGATGATCCACCTGCCTCAGCCTCCCAAAGTGCTGGGATTATAGGCATGAGTCATCATGCCTGGCTGGGATTTCATTTTTAAGATTGGGTTATAAAAAGACTGTGGCTTCCATTTTGGGTGTAATTTCCTGCTTCGTGCTCTTTCTCTCTTTCTCTCTTTCTCGCTCTCTCTCATTTCTCTTGATGGGAAGAAGTTGACGTATTAGCAGCCCTGTGAGAGACCCACATGGCAAGGAACTAAAGCCTGAAATCATCAGCCAGCAAGGAGTGGAGGCATGCCAGCCACCTGTGAATGAGTTAGGAAGTCAGTCTTCCAGTTCTAGTTGAGACTTGAGATGACTGCACCACTGGGCAATAGCTTGACCACAACCTCATGAGACACCACGTCTACCCAAGTCAGCTGCTTCTGGATTCCTGACCTTCAGAAACTTTGCTGTTATAAGCCACTAAACTTTTGGGGTATTTGTTATGGTGTAATAGATAACTGATACAAACGTGAACATATAAACAACTGAGATTGCTTGCCATATGCAAGCATATACTATAGACTTGTTGAAATACTGACTTTCTTTGGAACAAGTGACCTATAATTATTTTTTCTGGAAGCCATTCAATAACAAGGCCAGTCATCTACTGACACCATTCCTATTTTGTAAGACTAGAAAAGCTTGAGAGGATACACATTTTTCTCTTATCTGCATTGGATAACTATTCATTGGGAAATGCTTAGAAATCATTAAGGATATAGGACACAAGTCAAATTTATTCCTTCTGGAATTATCATCCTCTGTCATATGGAAATACTGTTTGTATAGAACTTGCTTCAAAATAGGACTGACTTGGCTGGGTGTGGTGGCTCACACCTGCAATCCCAGCACTTTGGGAGGCTGTGAGGGTAGATCACCTGAGGTCAGGAGTTTGAGACCAGCCTGGCCAACATGGTGAAACTCTGTCTCTACTAAAAATATAAAAATTAGCTGGGCATAGTGGTGGGTGACAATAATCCTAGTTATTCGGGAGGCTGAGGCAGGAGAATTGCTTGTGCTTGGGAGGTGGAAGTTGTGGTGAGCTGAGATCACACTATTGTACTCCAGCCTGGGCAACAGAAAGACACTCTGTCTCAAAAAAAAAAAAAAAAAAAATAGGATTCACTCACTAGCTGTCCAGGTTGACTCTGGAGTATTGCCACTAATGATTGTTGTCCACAGTCAAAGGTCCAGTTGAATAAACTTTAGTGAGGGTCAACGATGTGTTCAATAGTGAAATATTGTGGGCAGAGATGAATAATCTTTGTCCTTGTCCTCATGGAACTCACAATCCGGGAGAAGTTTCAGAAGCAGGGAGGGGAAGAAAGGAAGAGAAAGGGGGAAGGACAAAGACTGCATGAAGGAAAGGCTCAGAGGTGCAAAACAGAGTTTGGTATGGCCTGATGGTAATGTGTTTGGATGGCAGAGATGAGGCAGGAAATGAGAGAAGGCCAAGGGATAAACTTGGATCTTTAGACAGATCCAGATCAGAGAGGAAAGGCCATGTGGCAAAAAGAGCCAAACCTGGGTATTATTTCCATGTACCAATTTTAACATAAGGGATTTTTTTTTAAAACTTGAGTTATAATTTCTCATTTGTAACGTAGCAATGGCAATGCCTAACACACATGCTACCTTGTTGACTTTAAACTGAAATATATCCTCTGCTTATATATATTATTAAAATATTAATGTTAAGCCAGAATTTATCAGCATCTTAGGGAACGTGCAAATATAACACATCTTTAATCAGAAGCAATATTTTTCTGTTAAATCTTATGAACATTGAAGCTCTGTCTTCAAGAAAGGAAATACAGATCTTAGGGCAGAAGAGAAGCAGAACAAAATCATATAAGGATGTGAAGAGTTGTGTTATGTAAGCTGCCCTGATTCTGTCACTTAACCCTTTTCTCATTAAAAAAAAAAATGTGCAGCTCGCTGCCAGCACTCATTTAATTTTACATAAACATGCTCTTTGAGGCTGAAGCAAATCTGACTGGTTTTCAACGTGAAAATAAAATATAAAAACTGTTCTTGGAGTTATTTATAAACAGAACTAACATCAGAATCGTCTGAATCATCAGAATTGTCTATTTCAGAAAAATCAGATTCGTCAAATAGATCTTCAGCCACCAACTGTTTGAGAATGATGTTAACATCATGCATAGGAAGGCTGTGTTTTCTAGGATTTGACATTTTCAGTGATTGAGAATTGCTATATTTTGTAAATCGAAATACCACTACTAAAACCAGAATGCTATAAATAGTATGTCTTTTGTTTCCAAAGTTGGTATACTGAGGCGATGCAAAAATAATAATGAAAATGAGATATTTCCTGGCATCATTATCCTGGGGTAAATGCTGTAGCCGCAAGCACCACCAGTAAGAATTCTCTGGGCAAATAGGAAAAAGGTTAAAAAAATTAAACAGTTTCAATTTGATTTATGTAATCATATTTGATCATTTGAATATACTTATACTTACTATTTGAGCTTAAACATGTTGAAACTCCTTAAGGAGGGTGAAAATGTACATCTTGTCATTTTAGGTCACATTTTCACTAAGGAAGATTTGTTAAAATTAATGAATAAAATTTTATCTAACCACCTGAAATGTGTTGACATCTTTACCCTGATCTTTCATTTATGTTACTATACCCTGAATTGGAGCCTTGGGGAATTTCAGGAGATGAGAACTTTTGGAGTATTATTGTTTTTGTTTTCTAAAGTTTTATTGGAGAAAATACAATTAAAAAAATAGATTGCATTGTCCCTTTTGCTAATTTCTGTTAAGCAGTTTAATTTTTGGTCTCTTGTGATATCTAGGCTATGTTTCCAGAAGAAAAACACTAGGGAGAAATAAAGCATTAGCTTTAATGATATGTGGAGATATTTGAGAAAATGAACTTCTAAGCTAAGAAATTTCTCATCTCCTTTAGCTTCCACAGTGAAGCTAAGGACCAAATTTGAAGGTTGAATTGAGATAAATGCTCAAGGAGCACCATTCTCGTTCAGTCAACTGGATTTCGGAGCTCAGGACTGTGGCTCTGAAGGATCAGTGAGAATGAGTAGGCTCACAGTGAAAAGGCAAACTTGCAGGTGCTCCATTGCTGAAGGAAGAAATTACAGTGGAATTGAAATGCCATATTTTCCCATATGTATCCAGAGGGAACATTCTAGGGAGGAAAAAAGGAAAATCCAAGGGCTGGACTTTTTGAGCGTCCTCCAATAAAAACATCGTGATGTCATATTATATTAATTTAATGACCAAATAAATATAGAAACCAAATACAGAAACTGTAATTAAATATACTCTTGAGAACATAATTATGTAAGTAGTACTGCTTTTTAATGTGTAACAAAAGCAGGGAACAGAGACTTTGGACAGGTACTGCATTCTAATAATCCAAATTTCCTTTTATTAAAAATATTTCTCAAAGCAAATCTCCTTATGTGTTTCCCGTTGAGAACTTTCCCTCATCAATCTGCCTTGGCTTGGAAGCTGTTGCATTTTCTTTTTCCTTTTTTTTTTAATCCCTCTCATCTTTCCACTCATGTTTCTGTACCAGCCTCTTTGTGTCCTCCTGGACTTACAGCTCCCCCCCATCGTGCCATCTGCTGCCTCCTACTTGAGTCAACAGTGGTAACAGACAAAACTTCTGCATTCAAAATAATAGCACATTCAGGGGCATGTCTTCAATCTCATTCTTTTTCGGATGTAACAGATTACTGTAAGCTCCGTGCTTCTGACCAGACCACACTGCCCTAATAATGGTTAGAAGAAAAATAGTGAACCACTGTTGGTTATTTACTTTATCTTTTGTATTTTTATTATTTTATATGGCACATAAAGAACTGATTTATCAATATTCTTATATAGGTAACCAAGCATTCATATAATTTTGGAAACATTTGGATGATAAATGACAAATGACAGAAACTGTAATGTTGGAAAGTTATACACTTTCTTCAAAAACATATAATTTTATTTCTAATCATATCACGAATAGGAATAGGAAAGGAAAAATTGTGCACTTTAGAAGCTAAAGTACCATGTTTTAATTTTATGCCATTGATTTTTTTAGGCAAGTCAAGGGGGAAAATACCACATTAAAAGATGCCTAAACATATTCACGTGATAACTTGTTTACTTAAGCCAGGGTAATTTAATGTGCTTCAACTATGTGTCAAGAGCCACATTACAATTCCATAAAACAAGTCTTAAATCACAAAGGAGGTAGGAAGAATAAAGGAACAGCGGAGGAAACGTTAAGGGACATGGTAACAGCATAATTGGCAGTACAAATTGTCGAGTACTGAACACACCAGAAAGATGCAGCTTTTGCCAGCAATAACAGAGAGGGAAAATATTTTCCATGGTAAATCCAAGTACAGGGCATACGGCTGTATAGCTATTAAAGAACCCACAGAGACATATAAAAAGAAAGCCTGCTTTATGTCTTGTTTATCACATTACTAGTGGTAGTTTACAAAGATTTACATTATCTATAAATCACTTAAAGAAACAAGGGTTAGTGGGCATGATTTTTATTTCAAACTTTGGTTTAGGTTTGTGACAATGATTAAGGTAAATTATTTTTAATTTGCATACCTTAAGGACCTTCACAAACTTTGCATCATTTCCAAATATTCTAACAATTTTAAACAGTTGATCTATTTTCTAAAGGTGTTTGGTTAGTCAGCTTTTACTGTGATAACAAACAACCATATTATCCAATAGCTTATAGGAACAAATGTCTATTTCTGACTCAGATTGTAAGACAGCTTCAGGTCAGTGCACTGTGTTGGCTGGGCTTGGCTCAGCTGAGCTTAGCTCTATGTAGCTGCTCTCTTCAGGGCTCAGGCTGAAGGAGCATCTTTCATCTGGGTCATGCTGTTCTCATGAGAGTGGGCAGAACATGAGAGGTAGAGCAGAAACATGCAAGCACAGCTTAAGGTGGCCTGAGTCAAGTCTGCTCATGCTTTGATGGTCAAAACAAGTCACAGGGCTAAGCCTAAAGTCAGTAGAGTGGAGGTACAGTCCTTCTCCTGAGAAAAATTGCAAAAACGAGGAAGAAATGAAAAATTGAGAACAGATAATGCAATCTAATACTGTTGGTAAAAGGTAAGTTTTTAATTAATATTTTTGGAAGATCCATCTGGTAAAAACCTTCTGTCAAAGGTTGTTGATAATATTCTTTTTTTTTTTTTTGAGGCAGAGTTTTGCTCTTGTTACCCAGGCTGGAGTGCCATTGCACCACATCGCATTGTGGTGGTGCGATCTCGGCTCACCACAACCTCCACCTCCTGGGTTCAGGCAATTCTCCTGCCTCAGCCAAACGAGTAGCTGGGATTACAGGCATGCACCACCATGCCCAGCTAATTTTTTGTATTTTTAGTAGAGACGGGGTTTCACCATGTTGACCAGGATGGTCTCGATCTCTTGACCTCGTGATCCACCTGCCTTGGCCTCCCAAAGTGCTGGGATTACAGGCGTGAGCCACCGGTTGATAATATTCTTGAGCAGTAATCTACAGTTTATTCTAAATCTTTATTGTCATCCCTTCCCTGAAACATTTGACAAGTTTTGACCATTTCTTCCTTGAAAATTTCTTTTCTTTTTGCTTCTATAGTATTATTTCTGGTTCTTTTCTTACCTGAGTACCTCTCTGGGCCTTCTTTAATTTTCTTTCTTCTCAGAGTCCTGAAAATGAGAATTTTCTAATGGTTCTCTTATTGGCTCTCTTATTGCTAAGCCATCCTAATTATAACTACTCTTAGGAGTTAAATGATCTCTTCAATGTGGAAACAACTCAAATGAGGTTTTTCAATCGTGACTTCTAGAACCATACTTCCATCTACCCTCTGGAACTTCTATTTGAATGATTTTTGCACCTTAAATTCAATTTTGTCATAAGAAACTTGTCATCTTTCCATGTAAATGTATCCCTTCTGATGTCCCTGTTACTAATAGCAGCGTCATTTTCTAGGAAATTCTGACTCAGAACTATGAGTTGTATTTGACTCTTTCTTCCAACATCTAATCAATGAATGCTAAGTCATAGGATATTCCAGCATCACAATGTTTCCCATATCTATCCTCTTATTTCTTCCTGCCATTATCATTTTAGTTTATATCTTCATTCCATCCCAACCTCTTAAAATAAGAAATAGTCTCCTTCATTCTTCTTTCTATTCTGGCTTCTCACTTATCCCCAGGATTTCCAGATCAGAACTCACAGACCTTTCTGTAACCCTTTGGGTCTACATCAATCACAAATTTAGTCTGATATACAAGACTTTTCACAATATGCTTCTAACTCAACTTTTTGAGATTATCTTCTAAAAGTTAACGTTAATGGAAGCTCCCATAAAAATAGATAATATTTCTTTAACACATCTAAAATTTCCCACTTAATTGTCCTTATTCACTTTTTGTTTTGTCTAGAATATATCCCTTAACTAAACTTTTTTTGGGTCTGTATTTACTTTTTTAATTGTACTTTAAGTTCTGGGGTACATGTGCAGATCATGCAGGATTGTTGCATAGGTACACACATGGCAAAGTGCTTTGCTGCCTCCTTCCCCTGGCACCTATATCTGGCATTTGTCCCCATGTTATCCCTCCCCAACCTCCCCAGTCCCCACTGTCCCACCTCTAGTACCCCAGAAGACCCTCCCTGTATCCATGTGTTCTCATTGTTCAACACCTGCCTATGAGTGAGAATATGTGGTGTTTGATTTTCTGTTCTTGTGTCAGTTTGCTGAGAATGATGGTTTTCAGATTCATCCATGTCCCTACAAAGGACATGAACTCATTGTTTTTTATGGCTGCATAGTATTTCATGGTGTATATGTGCCACATTTTTGTCATCCAGTCTGTCATCGATGGGCATTTGGGTTGGCTCCAGGTCTTTGCTATTGTAAACTGTGCCACAGTGAACATACATGTGCATGTGTCTTTATAATAGAACAATGTATAATCCTTTGGATATATACCCAGTAATGAGATTGCTGGGTCAAATGGAATTTCCTTTTTTTTTTTTTTTTGAGACAGAGTTTCGCTCTTATTACCCAGTGAAATGGTGCAATCTCAGCTCATCACCGCAGTCTCTGCCTCCTGGGTTCAAGCAATTCTCCTACCTCAGCCTCCCAAGTAGCTGGGACTACAGGCTGTACCACCATGCCCAACTAATTTTTGTATTTTTAGTAGAGACAGGGTTTCACCATGTTGACCAGGATGTTCTTGATCTGTTGAGCTAGTGATCCACCCAACTCAGCCTCCCAAAGTGCTGGGACTATAGGTGTGAGCCACCTGCGCCTGGCCTGCAATTTGTAATTCTAGGTCCTTGAGGAATCACCACGCTGTCTTCCACAATGGTTAAAATAATTTACACACACACCAACCGTGTAAAAGTGTTCCTATTTCTCCACATCCTCTCCAGCATCTGTTGTCTCCAGATTTTTAAATTATCACCATTCTAGCTGGCATTTGATGGTATCTCAATGTGGTTTTGATTTGCATTTCTCTAATGACCAGTGATGATGAACATTTTTTCATGTTTCTTGGCCTCATGTATGTCTTCTTTTGAAAAGTATCTGTTCATGTCCTTCACCCACTTGTGAATGGGTTTGTTTCTTTCTTGTAAATCTGTTTTACTTTTTTTGTAGATTCTGGATATTAGCCCTTTGTCAGATGGGTAGATTACAAACATTTTTTCCCATTCTGTTGGCTGCCGGTTCACTCTAACGATTGTTTCTTTTGCTGTACAGAAGCTCTGGAGTTTAAGTACATCCCATTTGTCTATTTTGGCTTTTGTTGCCAATCTTTTTGGTGTTTTAGTCATGAAGTCCTTGCCTATGCCTATGTCCTGAATGGTATTGCCTAGGTTTTCTTCTAGGGTTTTTATGGTGTTAGGTCTTATGTTTAAGTCTTTAATCCATCTGGAGTTAATTTTAGTGTAGGGTGTCAGGAAGGGGTCCAGTTTCTGTTTTCTGCACATGGCTAGCCAGTTATCCTAACAGCATTTCTAAACAGGGAATCCTTTCCCCATTGCTTGTTTTTGTCAGGTTTGTCAAAGATCAGATGATTGTAGATGTGTGACATTGCCTCTGAGTCCTCTATTCTGTTCCATTGGTCTATATCTCTGTTTTGGTACCAGTACCAAGCTGTTTTGATTACTGTAGTCTTGTAGTATAGTTTGAAGTCAGGTAGCATAATGCCTCCAGCTTTGTTCTTTCTGCTTAGGATTGTCTTGGCTATGCAGGCTTTCTTTTGGTTCCATATGAAGTTTAAGGTGGTTTTTCCAGTTCTGTGAAGAGGGTCATAGGTAGCTTGATGGGTATAGCATTGAATCTATAAATTACTTTGGGCAGTATGACCATTTTCACAATAGTGATTCTTCCTAACCATGAGCATGGAATGTTTTTCCAGCTGTTTATGTCCTCTCTTATTTTCTTGAGCAGTGGTTCCTAGTTCTCCTTGAAGAGGTCCTTTGCATTCTTTGTTAGTTGTATTGCTAGGTATGTTATTCTTTCTGTAGCAATTGTGAATGGCAGTTCGTTCTTGATTTTGTTCTCTTTTAGTCTCTTATTGAAGTGTAAGAATGCCTGTGATTTCTGCACATTGATTTTCTATCCTGAGAGTTTGTTAAAGTTGCTTATCAATTTAAGGAGATTCTGGCCTAAATATACAATCATGTCATCTGCAAATAGAGACAATTTGGCTTCCACCTTTCCTAATTGAATACCCTTTATTTCTTTTTCTTGCCTGATTGCTCTGGCTAGAATTTCCAATCCTATATTGAACAGGTATGGTGAGAGAGGGCATCCTTGTCTAGTGCCAGATTTCAAAGGGAATGCTTCCAGTTTTTGCCCATTCAGTATGATATTGGCTGTGAGTTTGTCATAAATGGCTTTTATTATTTTGAGATAAGTTCCATCTATACCTAGTTTATTCAGAGTTTTTAGCATAAAGCACTGTTGAATTTTGTTGAAGGCCTTCTCTACATGTATTGAGATAAGTATATAGTTTTTGTCTTTGGTTCTGTTTATATGATGGATTATGTTAATAGACTTATGTATGTTGAACCAGCCTTGCATCCCTGGGTTGAAGCCTACTTGATCATGATGGATAAGCTTTAGATGTGCTGTTGCAATCTGCTTGCCAGTATTTTATTAAGGATATTTGCATCTATGTTCATCATGGATATTGGCCTGAAGTTTTCTCTTCTTGTTAAATCTCTGCCAGGTTTTGGTATCAGGGTGATGTTGTCCTCATAAAATGATTAGGGAAAGATTCTCTCTTTTTGGATTGTTTGGAATAGTTTCAGAAGGAGTGCTACCAGCTCCTCTTTGTATGTCCTCTCTGAATTTGGCTGTGAACCCATCTGGACCTAGACTTTTTTTGGTTGGTAGGGTATTAATTGCTGCCTCAACTTCAGCCCTTGTTATTGGTCTATTCAGGGTTTCAACTTCTTTCTGGTTTAGCCTTGGGAAGGTGCAAGTATCCAGGAATTTTTCCATTTCTTCCAGGTTTACTGGTTTGTATGCCTAGAGTTGTTTGTAGTAATCTCTGATGGTAGTTTGTATTTCTGTGGAATTGGTGGTGTTATCCCCTTTATTCCCCTTTATCATTTTTATTGCATCTGTTTGATTCTTCACTCTTTTCTTTTTTATTAATATGGCTAGTGGCCTGTCTATTTTGTTGATCTTTTCAAAAAACCACCTCCTGGATTTATTGATTTTTTAAGCATTTTTTTTGTGCCTCTATCCCATTCAGTTCACTCTGATTTTAGTTATTTCTTGTCTTCTGCTAGCTTTTGAGTTTTTTTTTTAATCTTGCTCCTGTAGCTCTTTCAATCTTGATGAAAGGGTGTCGATTTTAGATCTTTCCTTGCTTCTTATGTGGGCAGTTATTGCTATAAATTTTTCTCTAGTCACTGCTCTAAATGTGTCCCAGAGATTCTGATACGTTGTGTCTTCATTCTTGTTGGTTACAAAGAACATCTTTATTTCTGCCTTCATTTCCTTGTTTATCCAGTCAACATTCAAGAGCCACTTGTTCAGTTTCCAAGAACTTGTGTGGTTTTGAGTTAGTTTCTTAATCCTGAGTTCTAATTTGATTGCACTTTGGTCTGAGAGACTAGTTGTTATGAATTCCTTTCTTTTGCAATTTGCTGAGGAATGGTTTACTTCCAATTATGTGGTCAATTTTAGAGTAGATGTAATGTAGTGGTGAGAATGATGTATATTCTGTGGATTTGAGGTGGAGAGTTCTGATGATGTCTATTAGGTATGCTTGGTCCAGATCTAAATTCAAGTCCTGGATATTCTTGTTAATTTTCTGTCTCATTGATCTGTCTAATATTGGTAGTGGAGTGTTAAAGTCTCCCACTGTTATTGTGTGGGAGTCTAAGTCTCTTTGCAGGTCACTAAGAACTTGCTTTATGTATCTGGGTGCTCCTGTATTGGGTATGTATATATTTAGGATAGATAACTCTTCTGGTTGCATTGATCCTTTTACCATTATGTAATGCCCTTCTTGTCTCTTTTGATCTTTGTTGGTTTAAAGTCTATTTTATCAGAGACTAGGATGGCAACTCCTGCTTTTTTTTGCTCTCCATTTTCTTGGTAAATCTTCCTCCATCCCTTTATTTTGAGCCCATGTGTGTTCTTGCGATGGGTTTCCTGAATACAGCACACTGATGGGGTTTGACTTTTTATCCAATTTGCCAGCCTGGGTCTTTTGATTGGGGCATTTAGCCCATTTACATTTAAGGTTAATACTCTTATGTGTGAATTTGATCCTGCCATTTTGATGCTAGCTGGTTGTTTTCCTTGTTAATTGATGCAGTTTCTTCATTGTGTCAATACTTTTTGCCATTTGGTACATTATTGAAGTGGCGAGTACTGGTTGTTCCTTTCTATGTTTAGTGCTTCTTTCAGGAGCTCTTGTAAGGCAGGCCTGGTCGTGATGAAATCTCTCAGCAATTGCTTGTTTGTAAAGGATTTTATTTCTCCTTTGCTTATGAAGCTTAGTTTGGCTGGATATGAACTTCTAGGTTGAAAGTTCTTTTCTTTAAGGATGTTGAATACTGGCCCCCACTCTCTTCTTGCTTGAAGGGGTTCTGCCAAGAGATCTGCTGTGAGTCTGATGGGCTTCCCTTTGTGGGTAACCCAACCTTTCTCTCTGGCTGCCCTTAGCATTTTCTCCTTCATTTCAACCTTGGTGAATCTGATGATTATGTGCCTCGGGGCTGCTCTTCTTGCGGAATATCTTTGTGGTGGTCTCTGTATTTCCTGGACTTGAATGTTAGCCTGCCTTGCTAGTTGGGGAGGTTCTCCTGGATAATATCCTGAAGAGTGTTTTCCAGCTTGGATTCATTCTCTCTGTCACATTCTGATACACCTATCAAACATAGATTAGGTCTTTTCACATAATCCCATATATCTTGGAGGCCTTGTTCATTTCTTTTTTTTTTCTTTTTTAAAAGATTAACTTTATTGTGCATATTTAGGTTTACAACATGATGTTATAGGATACATATAGATAGTAAAATGGTTACTATAGTGATGTTCATTTCTTTTCACTCTTTTTTCTCTAATCTTGCCTTCTGATTTTATTTCATTGAGTTGATCTTCAATCTCTAATATCCTTTCTTCTGCTTGGTCAATCCGGCTATTGAAACTAGCGTATACTTTGCGAAGTTCTCTTGTTGTATTTTTCAGCTCTATTGTGTCATTTATATTCTTCTCTTTGCTGTTTCTTCTTGTTAGCATTTTGTCTAACCTTTTTTCAAGGTTCATAGTGTTTTTGCATTGGGTTAGAATATGTTCTTTTAGCTCAGAGAAGTTTGATATTACCCACCTTCTAAAGCCTGTTTCTGTCAATTCATCAGACTCATTCTCCATCTAGCTTTGTTCCCTTCCTGGTGTGCAGTTGTGATTTCTTGGAGGAGGAGAGGCATTTTGGTTTTTGGTGTTTTCATCCTTTTTGTGCTGGTTTCTTCTCATCTTTGTGGATTTATCTACCTGTGGTCTTTGTAGTTGGAGACTTTCAGATGGGGTCTGTGAGTGGACATTCCTTTTGTTGATGTCGAAGTTATTTCTTTCTGTTTCTTAGTTTTCCTTCTAATAATCAGGCCCCTCTGCTGGAGTCCTGCTGGAGATCCACTCCAGACCCAGCTTGCCTGAGGATCACCCACAGAGGCTGAAGAACAGTGAGGGTTACTGCCAGTTTCTTCTTGTGTTATCTTCATCCCAGAGGGTACCTGCCAGATGTCAGCCTGAGCTCTCCTTTACGAGGTGTCTCTTTGGACATACAGGGGTCAGGGATCTGCTTGAGGAGACAGTCCATTTCATATGGGAGCTCAAGTCTGTGCAGGGAGCTCCTATGTTCCATTCAGAGCTTCTGGGTAGGTACATTTAAGACTGCTGTAGTAGAATTGATAAACACCCTTATCCCCAGGTGCTCTGTCCTGGAAAAGTGGGGCTTTATTTATAAGTTCCTGATATGCTGCTGCCTTTTTTCTGAGATGCCCTGCCCAGCAAGGTGGTAGTCTAGACACAGTCTGCCAGCAGAGGCATTACTGAGCTGCTGTGAGCTCTGCCCAGCTGCTGTGTAAACTTCCTGTTAGAACTGCTTAGGTAATAGTGGTCTGCCTTAGTAATGGTGAACTGCCTTGGTAATGATGAACTGCCTCAGTAATGGTGGACTGCCTTGGTAGTAATGGACTGTCTTGGTAGTGGTGGACTGCCTTGGTAATCGCTGACACCCTTCCCCCCACTGAGCTGGATTGTTCTGGGTCCAGCTACGCTTGCTGTAAAACTCTCCATCCAGTGCGTTTCAGATTGCTGGTCTTTGTGGGGGGTGGTACCCGCTGAGCCAGATCACCTGGCTCCCTGTTTCAGCCCCGCTTTTTTTCAGTTGAATGACTGGCTTTGTATCCCAGGCATTCCAGGCACTTTTTGAAATGGCTGCCCATATTTGTGCGAGTTTTTGTGTGGAGACCTGCAGCACCAGCTGAAACAGCTGTGCTGGAAATTTGTGGCCCTTTTCAGTCCAGGAATCTCCTGGTCTATGGGCAGTAGAAACTCTTTGGAAATGTGGTGATCACTCACCCTCTGAATTCTTCTCGCTGGGAACTGCACTCCAGAGCTGTTCCTATTCAGCCATCTTGGACCTCCTCTCACTCCCTGTACTTTTTAAGTTCAATCTCAAAACACATCTCTTCCAATAACTTTGTTAGCATTTACTTTGAAGCTCCTTTGTGCGTAGATTTGCTTTATGTTCCAGTGGTTTGTAAAATTGTTTTTAAATCTTTTTTTTATTGCATTTTAGGTTGTGGGGTACATGTGAAGAACATACAAGATAGTTGCATAGGTACACACGTACACACATGGCAGTGTGATTTGCTGTCTTCTTCCCCTTCACCTATATCTGTCATTTCTCCCCATGCTATCTCTCCCCACCTCCCTACCCCCAGCTGTCCCTCCCCTATTCCCCCCAACAGACCCCAATGTATAGTGCTCCCCTCCCTGTGTCCATGTGTTCTCATTGTTCAATACCCGCTTATGAGTGAGAACATGCGGTATTTCATTTTCTGTTCTTGTGTCAGTTTGCTAGAATGATGTTCTCCAGGTTCATCCATGTCCCTACAAAGGACACGAACTCATTGTTTTTGATTGCTGCATAATATTCCATGGTGTATATGTGCCACATTTTCCCTGTCCAGTCTATCATCGATGGATATTTGGGTTGATTCCAGGTCTTTGCTATTGTAAACAGTGCTGCAATGAACATTCGTGTGCATATGTCCTTATAGTAGAATGATTTATACTATAGTCCTTTGGATATATACCCAGTAATGGGATTGCTGGGTCAAATGGAATTTTCATTTCTAGGTCCTTGAGGAATTGCCCCACTGTCTTCCAAAATGGTTGAACTAATTTACACTCCCACCAGCAGTGTAAAAGTGTTCCTATTTCTCCACATCCTCTCCAGCATCTGTTGTCTCCAGATTTTTTAATGATCACCATTCTAACTGGCATGAGACAGTATTTCAATATAGTTTTGATTTGCATTTCTCTAATGACCAGTGATGATGAGCATTTTTTCATATGTTTGTTGGCCTCATGTATGTCTTCTTTTGAAAAGTTTCTCTTCATATCCTTTGCCCACTTTGAATGGGCTTGTTTTTTTTTTTTCTTGTAAATCTGTTTTAGTTTTTTGTAAATTCTGGATATCAGCCCTTTGTCAGATGGGTAGACTGCAAAAATTTTTTCCCATTCTGTTAGTTGCTGATTCACTCTAATTCACTTTTGCTGTACAGAAGCTGTGGAGTTTAATTATGTCCTATTTGTCTATTTTGGGTTTTGTTGCCAATGCTTTTGGTGTTTTGGTCATGAAGTCCTTGCCTACTCGTATGTCCTGAATGGTTTTGCCTAGATTTTCTTCTAGGGTTTTTATGGTGTTTTCTGGGTTAGATGGTACAGAGAATTGCTGGTATGAGTAACGCCTAGTTTTGATATCCTAAAAATTTGTGGTCTCTCATCTAAGAAATAATTTTACATTTAAGTCTTTAAAATTAACTCCAGATGGATTAAAGACTTAAATGTAAAATTATTTCTTAGATGAGAGACCACAAATTTTTAGGAAATCAAAATTAGATGTTACTCATACCTGTAATTCTCTGCACCATCTAACCCAGAAATCAGCATAGAGTAAATTTATAATATTTTTGAAAGAGTTTGAACTCAGAAGTCAAACTCACTGCCATATAGTAAGCATATCAGAAATGTTGATTATAAAGATTTTGGATTAAATCTTCAATTCTACTACAATAAAAAAGTTTCACAGTCTTTTATACCTTGTTTGTAAGTGATTACAATATGAAAAAAATTCTACCCAGAGATTGAGAAATGGTTTGTTTTTATATTTACAATGAACATTCATTATAAGCTTTTTTTAGAGGGAGGTGTTAAGATCAATTATTCTCATAGAGTTAATTTCTGTATAGACTCTTTAGGCTTCATAAATTAATTTTTTTTGCAACCTGCAAAAATCATTAAAATGACTATATATTTCCTTAGAAGATAAAGGTAAAAAGAAATAAAGTACTTTTTATTGTGACTTGCTCAACAGCTCAACTTACCTTAGTTTATTATTTTATTATTTTCTTTGAATATATGGTTACCTACCATGTAATGGTCTTGCTTCATAATGAACTAAGAGAGTTATGCAAAAATAGGTCATGAGAAGGTGGTAGGTAGGTGAGAGAGTATGGGCTGATCCACTATTAATTTGTTTCTAAAATATAGACTTTAAATTGTAGTGTTTGCTATTAAATAATGATTATGTGGCATGATTTTTGATATGCTTGTGTCTCCCAGAGTCACCATACGAAGTTAGCACAACTGGCAAATAGGAAAAGAGTTGGTGTCAGAAAAAGGAATTGAGAATGTGGTCTTCGAGATTCAAAAATTATTAGACTGCAGTGTGTTTCACTAAATACAAACTTTTTGAAAAGAAATGTAAACATTAAAAAAATTTCACTGGAATTTCTTGCTATTAAACTTTAAAATGTTTTTGCAGTTACTGTCAGAAGTATCAGTTATACTTTTGTTTTCTTCTCTTGATTTACTTACATTTGGAGACTGCTACAAAGAAGCGAAAGGTTACATCAAATTCTTATTCCTTGGACCTATAAATAACACCTAAGCATATAACAATATGTAAATATCTTATGAGTGTAATGACATTTTGAACTTTCTTAAAGACAGAGATCTTTATTCTTTAACAAATTCCCAGAACAAATGTGCAAACTAATTAACTAAAACAGGTATGCTTAATTGGTTAACCGTTCATATATTTAGAATAGTTAATCATTACTTCACTTATAAGAACAACACATCTTCAGGAATCATGTACTTTTTCTTGTTCAAATTGTAAAAGAGGCAAAAGTATAAATTTAAAATCATTTGTACAAGTATAAAATATTAAGTATAGGTAGTAATTCAACCCAGTTACTGACCAGGCATGTGCCTATATTGGAATTATTTAGCTAAAGTCTTGAATTTCCTATCTATAAATAAGAGGTGAGAACTAGATGTTCTTTGAGGTGTAAAATCCTACATTTCTTTAAACCCCAAATCAAAGGTATTCTATGAGTAGGACCTACAGATGACAGTACCATATAATAAAAACAATATAAAGTAAAGTGATGTTTTGTGAACTTGTCCAGATTAGGAAAATACATAAAATTAAAGCTAATTTAATACGGGATTTCAAATGAAAAAAAAAAGCAAAAACAAAATGGTCATCTTAATTACTTAATTAATTTTGTTTTATAGGTTCTAGTTACACGAAATCCTAGTTGTACAAGATAAAGATGGGACTTTAACACTAAAGTCTTCTTATTTCTATGTAAACAACACATTGAAGAGAAAAAGATTATAAGATTTCTAAAGAAATTATTAGACTCCAACTCTGGTACCAAAAGATTGAATTTTGAAAAAGCTACTAGAAATAACACCCCTACTGAAAGTGGAGTACAACAGGAACAACAAAGGATCTTAAACTGAAATGACATTTAACTTATGAAGTTGCATTAACTAATGAACAGTAAACACTCATTAAATTAGGAGAATGTATGTATAAAAACGTGAACTAGACCTAATAAAAAATCTGTATTGTAGAATATTTTGAAATTAATATTCCTTTCCTTCTGAATAGCATACAGTATTTTAACCTAACAAAATATTTTCTCTTAGAAGGAAGAGCAGTGACTGGCATTAAGAAAATGACAGATGTTGTCTGTATAATTTTTCATATCTATTGCAGAGCAGATGATTTTAGGGACTTTGAAGATACAAGCATAATCTGAACATGAAGAATGGGATTCTCAAAGTCACAATTCAAGTCACCTTTTGTCCCAATTATTGTGAATTTGGAATTAATAAAATTAAAGTTTTATTAAGAAAAAACTTATTGAAAGCTATATTTGAATATGCTATTAATATATTGCAATACATGTAAAATTAGGACATGTAAAATATGTAAAATCAGGAACTTTTTTTCAAAGTGCTTTATAAAGAACCTTCTCATGTTGTAAAATTAACACCATGATGAAACTGTACAAATATTAAAAAACCAGTTACTTGCAAACAGGAATTGCATGAATATTTAAAACTGCTGGTCAGAGAGGCTAATGTTTCCCTATGAAATACATTTAGTTGCTGCAGAAACAAGGAAATATATTAAACTTATAAAACTGATGTTAAGAAAAGTGGAAAAAGATTACATCTCCCAACAGCCAAGGAAGTAAATATCTCCATGGAATTCACATACATAACAATTATGAGATAGGTGCTAGAGTACTAAAATGCCTTTAATTCATACCTTCAACAAGCATTCTTTCTGCACAAACTGTTCTTTTATGTCAGAAAAATGTGAAATTTTTATGTAGGATAGTGATATTGTTCTTTGATTGCTCACAGTCTCATTGTCATGAGGGCACACCTGAGTACCTTGAAGTGGCTGATACTGATATAAGTGCAAGGGACATAGTGGATACTCAGTGGAGTTGGGGAGGTTCCTAGAGGTGGTGAGTTCTAAGCATCACATGCAATGGCAAGGAAAAGGAGAAATAGGAATCTAAAGGGATGGCAGGGGTTGGGCCAGTGTTCCCACATTTAAAAACTGGGTGATCTTTATGCTTCTTTCCCTAAGATTATCTGGGGTGTTATATGTAAACGTATTGGCATTTAAAAGGCTTTATCCCTTCAAAGCCTACTTATTTAAATCTTCCCCTGCTGGGCTGCTGGCCATTGCCTGGGGTTTGGTTCTCCTTCTCTGTTGGTGTGGTTGTTTAGGCCTCATGCAGACCACTTCCCAGCCTGCTACCCGGTACGTTCCACCCAAGACAGTAGGACAAGCATTGTGTGTGTGTGTGTGTGTGTGTGTGTGCGCGCGCGCGCGCGCATGTGTGTGTGTGTGTGTGTGTGTGCGCGCGCGCATGTGTGTGTGTATGTGTGTGAGAGAGAGAGAGAGAAAGGAGAGGGTGCATGAGAGAGAGCACAAAAAGATTTGATTAATTAATAGAACGGTACTAAAATTGGTCAGGGTTGTGAATTAAGAGTGGGAGAGGCTGGGCGCGGTGGCTCACGCCTATAATCCCAGCACTTTGGGAGGCTGAGGCGGGTGGATCACAAGGTCAAGAGATCGGGGTCAACATGGTGAAATCCCGTCTCTACTAAAAATACAAAAAAAAAAAAAAAAATTAGCTGGGCTTGGTGGCGCATGCCTGTAATCCCAGCTACTCGGGAGGCTGAGGCAGAATTGCCTGAACCCAGGAGGTGGAGGTTGTGGTGAGCTGAGATCGCGCCATTGCACTCCAGCCTGGGTAACAAGAGCGAAACTCCGTCTCAAAAAAAAAAAAAATCAGTGGGAGAACAACTAGACAGGTCTTCGAAGGATAAGAAAAGACATCCGCATTTGGTGTGATAGAAAGTAGATAGTTACTGAAAAATGGAGGGAAGAAAAATGATGTAGCATATGATTTCATCACAGTGTTATATATTAATATATTTAATATATATAAATAACAGTGTTATTTAAGTTTTACTGGGAAGTAGGTCTCTGGCTAGGAAAGTTTTGTCATCTGGATCTTAATGTAAGCTCCCTGATGGCAGAGGCTCTTCCTTATACTCTCTGGGGTCTCCTAGGAAGACTGAGATCCTGATTACTCAGTAAATATTGGCTGGTTGAGAATGAAGTAGTTCTTAAATTTTCTACTTTGGAGTAACTTTATTTCTTATGAAATATCGCACGTTCATTTTCCCATCGTATTTTCTTTCTTTGTAAAAACCTGAAGGAGTGAATAATTTCAGACCAGAAAATTAGGCAGAGCTCACCTAATGCTTTTTCTCTGTAAAAGTTAATCGTTTAATTTAAAACAATTAAAATTGACAAGGCACACATTCCCTCTATTGTAGGTAGGCCTTTTCTGTGTAACTGTGATAAAGTTTTACTTCATCGAGACTTTTTCATTTTCCATTTTTTCTTACATTTTAAGGTACATTAGAACACTCCAATTCTGCTGGGGTATGCTCAGACTGGAGAAGTGTGGCTTGTCTAAGATTGCAGACTGCTGCTTTCTCTATCACTCTGGTCCAGGTCACCACGCTCTCTTGCCTAAAAATTCACATGTCTTACCTGGTCCTTCTGTTTCATCTTTGTCCCTTTTATTTACTTTCTATGTAGCAGTCACTGAACTCCTTTAAAATGTAAGTCAGATAATACTATTCTTTTGGTCAATTTAGATCAGGCTTATAAAGTTTCTTGATGTCATATGCACATATGTAATACAGAAAATACCATAATCAGGAGAAAAAGGTAACAATAGTTCATATTAACATTTTGCAAATGACTGGGTTTAAAGTTTTTTTTTTTTGGTATTATAGAAAGCTTGACATATGAAAGTAAAAACAGTAGAGTGTTTTTATTTTGG